CCAATCAATCAATCAATCAATCAGTCAGTCAGTCAATCATTGCATGCATGTTTCTGTCTCATGTGTTTAATATGGGGACCAAGATCTTATGTTTCTATTTCGATTGTTTAAAGAGACCATACCCCACGTGTCTAATTAATTGATCAATCAATCAATCAAGCAACCAACCAACCAACCAACCAACCAACCAACCAACCAACCAACCAACCAACCATTCAATCAATCATTGCATGCATACATGTTTCCGTCTCCTGTGTTTAATATGGGGTCCAAGATCTCATTTGTTTTTTTTTCCGCTTGTTTCAAGAGACCACCATATCCCACATGTTAAGTTTATTAACCAACCAACCAATCAACCAATCAATCAATAAACCAACAAACCAATCAACCAACCAACCAATCAATCATTCATTGTATGCATGTTTCCGTCTCATGTGTTTAATATGGGGACCAAGATCTTATTTGTTTCTATTTTGATTGTTTAAAGAGACCATATCCCACGTGTCTAATTAATTGATCAATCAATCAATCAATCAAGCAACCAACCAATCAACCAACCAACCAACCAACCAACCAACCAACCATTCAATCAATCATTGCATGCATACATGTTTCCGTCTCCTGTGTTTAATATGGGGTCCAAGATCTCATTTGTTTTTTTTTTCGCTTGTTTCAAGAGACCACCATATCCCACATGTTAAGTTTATTAACCAACCAACCAATCAATAAACCAACAAAACAATCAACCAACCAATCAATCATTCATTCATTGTATGCATGTTTCCGTCTTATGTGTTTAATACGGGGTCCAAGATCTCCTTTGTTTCTTTTTCGCTTGTTTCAAGAAACCCTATCCCACGTGTTTAATTAATCAATCAATCAATCAATCAATCAATCAACCAACTAACCAATAAATAAATAAACAAACCAACCAACCAACCAATCAATCATTCATTCATTCATTCATTCATTCATTGTATGCATGTTTCCGTCTTATGTGTTTAATACGGGGTCCAAGATCTCCTTTGTTTCTTTTTCGCTTGTTTCAAGAGACTCTATCCCACGTGTTTAATTAATCAACTAATCAATCAATCAATCAACCAACCAACCAACCAACCAACCAACCAATAAATAAACAAACAAACAAACCAACCAACCAACCAAGCAATCATTCATTCATTCATTCATTCATTGTGTGCATGTTTCCGTCTCATGTGTTTAATACGGGGTCCAAGATTTCCTTTGTTTCTTTTTTTGCTTGTTTCAAGAGACCCTATCCCACGTGTTTAATCAACCAACCAACAAATCAATCAACCAACCAACCAATTAATTAATTGATCAATCAATCAATCAATAAACCAACCAACCAACCAATCAATCATTCATTGCATGCATGTTTCCGTCTCATGTGTGTAATATTGTATTTACATCTCTTCTGAAAAAAAAAATCCACATGCTTGTTATCAGATGTTCTGGGAAACTACATGTCCAATTGACCCATAAAATTTGCAGTCAGCAGGGTATACATGCATTACATCTTCATAAAACAACGTGGTGCAGATATCTCTCAAGAATTTTCCTAGAGAAAAGAAATTGCAATGCCGTAAAATTCGCTTGCTAGTTCCGTAAATCTCAGTGAAATCCTACAATAAAATGTCCGCTCCTAGATTGAAATACAAATCTGTGTTACAAACTGCTGCTGAAAAATGTACATTGTATGAAAACAATCGATAAACGTGTTTTAAAGTTACACAGGATCAATTAAATCCAAAGCATGCACTGCTCGTGAACTGTGATCGAAATGTCAATTACCTACAATGACAAAAGAAATACATTGTGTGTATTCCGTCGCTATACATGTTGTCTGTCCAACGTCCCCACCTAAAAAGAAATAAAAATACTAAGTTTTCGCTATTATAAAGCTTCGTCACGTGACGCCACAATCTGGCGCGAGACAAAGACGCGCGCGGGACCTAAAATAGAATAAAAACTTTCCAAACTAAATATAGAAACTTAACCAACACACTAATATGGACCTTTCAAAGAAAGAAACAAACAAACAAACAAACACACAAACAAACACACACACACACATATCAATCAATCAATCATGTTTCAGAAGGGGGGAAAGACCGTTTACAATTGCTTTTTTAAGCAATTGATTTATATTTATTATTATTATTATTATTCTTTTTCTTCCACCGTTTTCAAAGTCAAAAGTCAAGAAAAGTACGCAACATATCAAAATGATCTTTAGTACCAAGTATTGGGTTAATAAAAGCTATCTTGTATTAGGGGCACCAAAGTGTACTATTTACCTTATAGGAGTTATCTCCCCAATTACAAAAACCATTGTTATCGCTACTCTTCATAAACTATAAGAGTTAGCGGCAAATGGTTTTTTTTAAAATGTTCCTTGCCACATGTCGCAACTTTAAATAATTTCAACCGAAGCGATTCAGTGACTTCTTATAGGAGTTATTACCCCTTGAATATTTTACTTTTCAATATGCATATGAATCTCATGAACCGTAAGTTGTAAAGACCTAGGGTCTTTTGATTTGAGATCATTGGACCATAACTTGAAAATATAGGTCAAGGTCAAAGGTCAAGGTCATGTAAAAAAGGCAAATTGTGTGTTCTTGGCACTATTTAAAGAGTTTTATGTGTGGTTTAGTGCTTTTGTAGGTTGACATTGACCTTTAACCTTACTACTTGTTAAGTGATCTCTCAAAAGATAAATCCCATGTGTTTAGATATAGTATTTAGGCTTTCTATTCCGTCTTTGCATGATCAAAGTGGATCCGTTCTCTGTGTTAACCAACCAATCAATCAATCAATCAATCAGTCAGTCAGTCAGTCAGTCAGTCAGTCAGTCAGTCAGTCAGTGATTGCATGCATGTTTCTGTCTCATGTGTTTAATATGGGGACCAAGATCTTATTTGTTTCTATTTCCATTGTTTGAAGAGACCATATCCCACGTGTTTAATTAATTGATCAATCAATCAATCAAGCAACCAATCAATCAACCAACCAACCAACCAACCATTCAATCAATCATTGCATGCATACATGTTTCCGTCTCATGTGTTTAATATGGGGTCCAAGATCTCATTTTTTCTCTCGCTTGTTTCAAGAGACAACCATATCCCACATGTTAAATTTATTAACCAACCAACCAATCAATCAATAAACCAACCAACCAACCAACCAATAAACAAACAAACCAACCAACCAATCAATCATTCATTCATTCATTGTGTGCATGTTTCCGTCTCATGTGTTTAATATGGGGTCCAAGATTTCCTTTGTTTCTTTTTTTGCTTGTTTCAAGAGACCCTATCCCACGTGTTTAATCAACCAACCAACCAACCAATCAACAAATCAATCAACCAACCAATTAATTAATCAATCAATCAATCAATCAATAAACCAACCAACCAACCAATCAATCAATCATTCATTGTATGCATGTTTCCGTCTCATGTGTGTAATATTGTATTTACATCTCTTCTGAAAAAAAAAAATCCACATGCTTGTTATCAGATGTTCTGGGAAACTACATGTCCAATTGACCCCAAAATTTGCAGTCAGCAGGGTATACATGCATTACATCTTCATAAAACAACGTGGTGCAGATATCTCTCAAGAATTCTCCTAGAGAAAAGAAATTGCAATGCCGTGAAAATCGCTTGCTAGTTCCGTAAATCTCAGTGAAATCCTACAATAAAATGTCCGCTCCTAGATTGAAATACAAATCTGTGTTACAAACTGCTGCTGAAAAATGTACATTGTATGAAAATAATCGATAAACGTGTTTTAAAGTTACACAGGATCAATTAAATCCAAAGCATGCACTGCTCGTGAACTGTGATCGAAACGTCAATTACCTACAACGACAAAAGAAATACATTGTGTGTATTCCGTCGCTATACATGTTGTCTGTCCAACGTCCCCACCTAAAAAGAAATAAATATACTAAGTTTTCGCTAATATAAAGCCTCGTCACGTGACGCCACAACCTGGCGCGAGACAAAGACGCGCGCGGACCCTGAAATAGAATAAAAACTTTCCAAACTAAATATAGAAACTTAACCAACACACTAATATGGACCCTTTAAAGAAAGAAAAAAAGAAACAAACAAACAAACAAACAAACAAACAAACAAACAAACAAAAAAACCAAACAAAAAAACCAACACACATATATCAGTAAATCATGTTTCAGGTGGGGGAAAGACCGTTTACAATTGCTTTTTAAAGCAATTGATTTATATTTATTATTATTATTCTTTTTCTTCCGCCAAACTTTGACAAAATTTCCCTCCGTAACCGTAAGCCATGTCGCTTTCAGGTTCACACTTTGTATCGGTGTCACAAATACCTATCCGGAACTCACCCTGTGAGTCGTAAAATTTTGTCGGTCAGGAGTTATTCCTTCGAAACCTAAAAACCTTGTTATCATTCAAACACCATAACCGTAATAGGTAGAAAAAAAGCAAAGGGTGAAATTTGTTCAGGACCAGACCCCGGTTCTTCGTTACATTTGGATCGAAAAGATTCAACGACTCATTGGTAGGGTTATGCCCCTTTGAAAATTAACTGGTGTCGGTTGGCCATCAAAACTCAAAAACCGTAAGTCGTAGCCACCTAGGATCTTCACCAATGATCATCAATTCATGTGACTTTCAAAATGCCTCAAGGTCAAATTTGTATGTTGACCTTGACCTTTGACCTTACACCTTGTTATGGGATAATCTCAGAAACCATTATACTTACAGAAGTTTTGAATAGTGGAAAATGTTTGGGTCATTAAGGCGCAACTTTGTTACATTTTGACCGAAGAGATTTGACCTTTCTGTAAGGGGCATAACCCCTGTTTTAGGTTTCTGAAAAGACAAAATCAGCTTTTACTATATAACCAAAGGTCCTAGATCCATGGGGTCAATTGGGACCAATGACCTTGACAAAGGTCACAAGGTCAAAGGTCAAGGTCATCTCCCAGATAGCGAATTATGTGTTTTTGACCTTATTTAAAGGATTTAAAGTGTTTTAAAGGTTTTTAAGTTTGACCTTGACCTTTGACCTTACAACTTTTTATTCGATATCTCAAAAACGATTATACTTACAGAAATAGTAAATAGTGAAAAATGTTTGGGACATTAAGGCGCAACTTTTTTACATAATGACCGAAGAGATTTGACCTATCCGTAAGGGGCATAACCCCCGTTAACTGTTTCTGAAAAGACAAAATCAGCTTTAACTATTGAACAAAAGGTCCTAGACCCCTAGGGTCTTCAGCAATGACATAAGAGACCAATGACCTTGACAAAGGTCACAAGGTCAAAGGTCAAGGTCATGTCCCAGAAAGCGAATTAAGTGTTTTTGACCTTATCTAAAGGATTTTTAGTGTGTTTTGAAGCTTTTTGAGGTTGACCTTGACCTTTGACCTTAAAACTTATTTATTGGATATCTCAAAAACGATAATACTTACAGAAACAGTAAATAGTGAAAAATAATTGGGACATAAAGGCGCAACTTTTTTACATTTTGACCGAAGATATTTGACCTATCGGTAAGGGGCATAACCCCTGTTAACTGTTTTAGAAAAGACAAAATAAGCTTTAACTCATGAACCAAAGGTCCTAGACCCATGGGGTCTTTTGTTATGACATCGTGGACCAATGACCTTGACAAAGGTCATAAGGTCAAAAGTCAAGGTCATGTCCCAATTTCCGAATTATGTGTTTTTGACCTTATTTTAAGAGTTTTGTGTGTGTTTTAGAGCTTTTCAATGCATTATACACTTATTTAAAAATTTATTTCACATAATGAAAAGGAAAGACCTCTCAATTGTTCAAGAACAATTGACATTTTAATTATTATTATTATTATTATTATTATTATTAAGGTCTTTCCTTTTCCAAAAGGGAAAGACCTTACTGTATTTCTTCTGATTATTATTATTATTAAGGTCTTTCCTTTTCCAAAAGGGAAAGACCTTACTGTATTTCTTCTGATTATTATTATTATTCTTTTTGTTCCGCCAAACTTTGACAAAATTTCCCTCTGTAACCGTAAGCCATGTTGCTTTCAGGTTCACACTTTGTATCGGTGTCATAAATACCTTTCCGGAACTAACCCTGTGAGTCAAAAAATTTTGTCGGTTCAGAGTAATCCCTCCGAAACCAAAAAACCTTGTTATCATTCAAACACCGTAACCGTAATAGGTAGAAAAAAAACGAAGGGTGAAATTTGTTCAGGATCAGACCCTGGTTCTTCGTTAGATTTGGATCGAAAAGATTCAACGACTCATTGGTAGGGTTATGCTCTATGAAAATTAACCGGTGTCGGTTGGCCACCAAAACTCAAAAACTGTAAGTTGTAGACACCTAGGATCTTCACAAATGATGATCAATTCATGTAACTTTAAAAAATACCTCAAGGTCAAATTTGTATGTTGACCTTGACCTTTGACCTTACACCTTGTTATGGGATAATCTCAGAAACCATTATACTTACAGAAGTTTTGAATAGTGGAAAATGTTTGGGTCAATAAGGCGCAACTTTGTTACATTTTGACCGAAGAGATTTGACCTTTCTGTAAGGGGCATAACCCCTGATTTAGGTTTCTGAAAAGACAAAATCAGCTTTTACTATATAACCAAAGGTCCTAGATCCATAGGGTCTTCAGCAATGACATTTGGGACCAATGACCTTGACAAAGGTCACAAGGTCAAAGGTCAAGGTCATGTCCCAGATAGCGAATTATGTGTTTTTAACCTTATTTAAGGGATTTTTAGTGTCTTTTAAAGCTTTTTAAGGTTGACCTTGACCTTTGACCTTACAACTTTTTATTTGATATCTCAAAAACGGTAAATCTTACAGAAATAGTAAATAGTGAAAAATGTTTGGGTCATAAAGCCGCAACTTTTTTACATTTTGACCGAAGAGATTTGACCTTTCTGTAAGGGGCATAACCCCTGTTTTAGGTTTCTGAAAAGACAAAATCAGCTTTTACTATATAACTAAAGGTCCTAGATCAATCGGGTCTTCAACAATGACATTTGGGACCAATGACCTCGACAAAGATCACAAGGTCAAAGGTCAAGGTCATGTCCCAGATAGCGAATTATGTGTTTTTGACCTTATATAAGTTATTTTTAGTGTCTTTTAAAGCTTTTTAAGGTTGACCTTGACCTTTGACCTTACAACTTTTTATTGGATATCTTACAGAAATAATAAATAGTGAAAAATGTTTGGGACATAAAGGCGCAACTTTTTTACATTTTGACCGAAGAGATTTGACCTATCCGTAAGGGGCATAACTCCTGTTAACTGTTTTACAAAAGACAAAATAAGCCTTAATACATGAACCAAAGGCCCAAGACTTATGGGATCTTTTGTTATGATATCGTGGATCATAAGGTCAAAAGTCAAGGTCATGTCCCAAATTCCAAATTATGTGTTTTTGACCATATTTTAGGGTTTTGTGTGTGTTTTAGAGCTTTTCAATGCATTATACGCTTATTTAAACATATATTTTACATAATGAAAAGGAAAGACCTCTCAATTGTTCAAGAACAATTGACATTTTAATTATTATTATTATTATTAAGGTCTTTCCTTTTCCAAAAGGGAAAGACCTTACTGTATTTCTTCTGATTATTATTATTATTATTATTATTATTAGGTCTTTCCACTTTTCTGTTGAAAGACCTATTGTATTTGTTCTGATTATTATTATTATTTTTTTCTTCTTCCGCCACTTTTTTCTGACGGTGCTTTTTTGTTTTGCAAGATGTCGCTTAGATTTTTTGTGTATGATATCGAACAGTTATTGCGATTTTGAAACTGACCCTGTTTAGCCGAATACTTTTTATTGTAAGAGTTATCTCCCCAAACACTGTTTTTCTTGTGTACCCATCTCCTTCGCATCCGTAAAAGATTATGACAAATTTATGTCTCCAATTTGTTCGTTATATCCTCAGGATCTTAAGAATAATTTTGACCGAAGCGGTCCAGAAACTCCATATGAGAGTTATTTCCCCTTCTGTATTTAAAATAAGTAAAATGTAATTGTATTTGGTAAACCATAAGTGATAGGGACCTAGGGTCTTTTGATTTGAGGTCCTTGGTGCAAAAAAAAGAAAATAAGGTCAAGGTCAAAGGTCAAGGTCATTTTTAAATTTGGATTTTGGCTTATTTTCACCTCTTTTCAAACACGATATAAGATATCAACAACATATTTTTACCAAATTGTTAGTTGTGACATGTCGTAACACATACATATCGGTTTAAAGGGTACGCTTACATCAAATTAGAGTTTTCTCCCCTCGTTTATTTAAAAATATGCATATGGCGATATAACTCATGAACCAAATATAATTAAGTCCTAGGGTCTTTTGATTTGAGGTCCTTGATCGAAAACAAAGAAGATAAGGTCAAGGTCAAAGGTCAAGGTCATGTTCTAAATCTTGATTTTAGCTTATTTTCAGTAACCGTATAAGATATCGACAAATTATTGTTACTAAATTGTTAGTTGCAACATATCGAAACAAATAAATTTTGGTTGAAAGGATGCGTAGACATTACATGGGAGTTTTAGCCTCTCGTATATTTAGAATTATGGGTATAGTAATATAGCTCATTAACCATATATAATAAAGACCTAGGGTCTTTTGATTTGATGTCTTTTGGTTATGACCTTGAAATTTAGTTCAAGGTCAAACGTAAAATTGACGTTCTAGATTTTGACCTTTGCTGTACATTCATATTTATACATTGTTATGCCTTGTGATTTTTTGCATTAGGTTATTAGACATTTAACCTTGAAAATGTCAACCTGAAGTGACCTTTTTAAAACCGAAAGTAGCAATTTATCTTTCTAATTTGAACCAAAAGTATATAGAAACTATATATTTTAGAATCAGCGTAAAGTAAGCTATTATTTGACACCATAAGTGGCTAATTATCTCCCTTAATGTATATTTATATATATATATAGACTCTGAGAGAGACCTATTGTATTTGTTCTGATTATTATTAGGTCTTTCCACTTTTCTGTGGAAAGACCTATTGGTTTTCTTCTGATTATTATTATTATTATTATTATTATTTTTTTCTTCTTCCACCACTTTTTTCTGACGGTGCTTTTTTGTTTCGCAAGATGTCGCTTAGATTTTTTGCATATGATATCGAACAGTTATTACGATTTTGAAACTGACCCTGTTAAGCCGAACACTTTTTATTGTAAGAGTTATCTCCCCAAACACAGTTTTTCTTGTGTACAAATCTCCTTCGCAACCGTAAAAGATTACGACAAAATTATTTCACCAATTTGCTTGTTATATCTTCAGGATCTTAAAAATAATTTTGACCGAAGCGGTCCAGAGACTACATATGGGAGTTATTTCCCCTTTTGTATTTTTAATAAGAAAAATGTAGTTGTAGCTTGTTAACCATAAGTGATAAAGACCTAGGGTCTTTTGATTTGAGATCCTTGGTCCAAAAAAAAGAAAAAAGGGCCAAGGTCAAAGGTCAAGGTTATTTCTAAATTTGGATTTTAGCTTCTTTTCACCACTTTTCAAACACGATATAAGATATCGACAACATATTTTTTACTTAATTGTTAGTTGTGACATGTCGTAACACATACATATTGGTTTAAAGGGTACGCTTACATCAAATTTGAGTTTTCTCCCCTCTTTATTTAAAAATATGCATATGGTGATATAACTCATGAACCAAATATAATTAAGATCTAGGGTCTTTTGATTTGAGGTCCTTGGTTGATGACCTTGAAATTGAGCCCAAGGTCATAGGTTAAATTGACGTTCTAGATTTTGACCTTTGCTTTTACCTCATTTGTATACATGATAAAGCCATGGGACTTTTTGCATTTACTTGCAAGCCATATGACCTTGAAAAAGGAACCAGAAGTGACCCTGTGTAAACCAGAAGTAGCTATTTTTTTGTACTTTTTGAATGTCAAAGTATATAGAACCATATTTTTGGAATCAGTGTCAATTAAACAGTTAAATAATACCGGAAGTAACCTTTTTGAAACCGGAAGTAACAAATTATTTCCCTTATTTAAAAAATATTGTATAGAAACCATATATTTTTGGAATCAGCGTACTATAAGCTATCATTTGACGCTGTTAATGACATTTTAAACCGAATTTTTACAATTTTCATATCAAAATACTTGTTTTTTTGTGGAAAGACCTTCAATTGTTCTCTGAACAATTGGTTTTTAATTATTATTCTTTTTGTTCCGCCAAACTTTGACAAAATTTCCCTCCGTAACCGTAAGCCATGTCACTTTCAGGTTCACACTTTGTATCGGTGTCACAAATACCTATCTGGAACTCACCCTGTGAGTCGTAAAATTTTGTCGGTCTGGAGTTATCCCTCCGAAACCTAAAAACCTTGTTATCATTCAAACACCGTAACCGTAATAGGTAGAAAAAAAGCAAACGGTGAAATTTGTTCAGGACCAGACCCCGGTTCTTCGTTACATTTGGATCGAAAAGATTCAGCGACTCATTGGAAGGGTTATGCCCCTTTGAAAATTAACCGGTGTCGGTTGGCCACCAAAACTCAGAAACCTTAAGTCGTAGCCACCTAGGATCTTCACCAATGATCATCAATTCATGTGACTTTGAAAATGCCTCAAGGTCAAATTTGTATGTTGACCTTGACCTTTGACCTTACACCTTGTTATGGGATGATCTCAGAAATCATTATACTTACAGAAGTTTTGATTAGTGGAAAATGTTTGGGTCATTAAGGCGCAACTTTGTTACATTTTGACCGAAAAGATTTGACCTTTCTGTAAGGGGCATAACCCCTGTTTTAGGTTTCTGAAAAGACAAAATCAGCTTTTACTATATAACCAAAGGTCCTAGATCCATGGGGTCTTCAACAATGACATTTGGGACCAATGACCTTGACAAAGATCACAAGGTCAAAGGTCAAGGTCATGTCCCAAATAGCGAATTATGTGTTTTTGACCTTATTTAAGGGATTTTTAGTGTCTTAAAGCTTTTTTAGGTTGACCTTGACCTTTGACCTTACAACTTTTTATTGGATATCTCAAAAACGGTTAATCTTACAGAAATAGTAAATAGTGAAAAATGTTTGGGTCATAAAGCCGCAACTTTTTTACATTTTGACCGAAGAGATTTGACCTTTCTGTAAGGGGCATAACCCCTGTTTTAGGTTTCTGAAAAGACAAAATCATCTTTTACTATATAACCAAAGGTCCTAGATCCATGGGGTCTTCAACAATGACATTTGGGACCAATGACCTTGACAAAAGTCACAAGGTCAAAGGTCAAGGTCATGTCCCAGATAGCGAATTATGTGTTTTGACCTTATTTAAGGGATTTTTAGTGTCTTTTAAAGGTTTTTAAGGTTGACCTTGACCTTTGACCTTACAACTTTTTATAAGATATCTCAAAAACGGTTAATCTTACAGAAATAATAAATAGTGAAAAATGTTTGGGTCATAAAGCCGCAACTTTTTTACACTTTGACCGAAGAGATTTGACCTTTCTGTTAGGGGCATAACCCCTGTTTTAGGTTTCTGAAAAGACAAAATCAGCTTTTACTATATAACCAAAGGGCCTAGACCCATGGGGTCTTCAACAATGATATTTGGGACCAATGACCTTGAAACAGGTCAAAAGGTCAAATGTCAAGGTCATGTCCCAGATAGCGAATTATGTGTTTTTGACCTTATTTATAGGATTTTTAGTGTGATTTAAAGCTTTTTGAGGTTGACCTTGACCTTTGACCTTAAAACTTATTTATTGGATATCTCATAAACGATAATACTTGCAGAAATAGTAAATAGTGAAAAATAATTGGGACATAAAGGCGCAACTTTATTACATTTAGACCGAAGAGATTTGACCTATCCGTAAGGGGCATAACCCCTGTTAACTGTTTTAGGAAAGACAAAATAAGCTTTAACTCATGAACTAAAGGTCCTAGACCCATGGGGACTTTTGTTATGACACCGTGGACCAATGACCTTGACAAAGGTCATAAGGTCAAAAGTCAAGGTCATGTCCCAAATTCCGAATAATGTGTTTTTGACCATATTTTAAGAGATTTGTGTGAGTTTTAGAGCTTTTCAATGCATTATACGCTTATTGAAACATATATTTTACATAATGAAAAGGAAAGACCTCTCAATTGTTCAAGAACTATTGACATTTTAATTATTATTCTTTTTGTTCCGCCAAACTTTGAAAAAATTTCCCTCCGTAACCGTAAGCCATGTCAGGTTCACACTTTGTATCGGTGTCACAAATACCTATCCGGAACTCACCCTGTGAGTCGTAAAATTTTGTCGGTCCGGAGTAATCCCTCCGAAACCTAAAAACCTTGTTATTCAAACACCGTAACCGTAATAGGTAGAAAAAAAGCAAAGGGTGAAATTTGTTCAGGACCAGACCCCGGTTCTTCGTTACATTTGGATCGAAAAGATTCAACGACTCATTGGTAGGGTTATGCCCCTTTGAAAATTAACCGGTGTCGGTTGGCCACTAAAACTCAGAAACCGTAAGTCGTAGCCACCTAGGATCTTCACCAATGATCATCAATTCATGTGACTTTCAAAATGCCTCAAGGTCAAATTTGTATGTTGACCTTGACCTTTGACCTTACACCTTGTTATGGGATAATCTCAGAAACCATTATACTTACAGAAGTTTTGAATAGTGGAAAATGTTTGGGTCATTAAGGCGCAACTTTGTTACAGTTTGACCGAAGAGATTTGACCTTTCTGTAAGGGGCATAACCCCTGTTTTAGGTTTCTGAAGACAAAATCAGCTTTTACTATATAACCAAAGGTCCTAGATCCATAGGGTCTTCAGCAATGACATTTGGGACCAATGACCTTGACAAAGGTCAAGGTCATGTCCCAGATAGCGAATTATGTGGTTTTGACCTTATTTAAAGGATTTAAAGTGTTTTAAAGGTTTTTAAGGTTGACCTTGACCTTTGACCTTACAACTTTTTATTCGATATCTCAAAAACGATTATACTTACAGAAATAGTAAATAGTGAAAAATGTTTGGGACATTAAGGCGCAACTTTTTTACATAATGACCGAAGAGATTTGACCTATCCGTAAGGGGCATAACCCCTGTTAACTGTTTCTGAAAAGACAAAATCAGCTTTAACTATTGAACCAAAGGTCCTCGACCCCTAGGGTCTTCAGCAATGACATAAGAGACCAATGACCTTGACAAAGGTCACAAGGTCAAAGGTCAAGGTCATGTCCCAGATAGCGAATTAAGTGTTTTTGACCTTATCTAAAGGATTTTTAGTGTGTTTTAAAGCTTTTTGAGGTTGACCTTGACCTTTGACCTTAAAACTTATTTATTGGATATCTCAAAAACGATAATACTTACAGAAACAGTAAATAGTGAAAAATAATTGGGACATAAAGGCGCAACTTTTTTACATTTTGACCGAAGAGATTTGACCTATCTGTAAGGGGCATAACCCCTGTTAACTGTTTTAGAAAAGACAAAATAAGCTTTAACTCATGAACCAAAGGTCCTAGACCCATGGGGTCTTTTGTTATGACATCGTGGACCAATGACCTTGACAAAGGTCATAAGGTCAAAAGTCAAGGTCATGTCCCAAATTCCGAATTATGTGTTTTTGACCATATTTTAAGGGTTTTGTGTGTGTTTTAGAGCTTTTCAATGCATTCTACGCTATATTGAAACATATATTTTATATAATGAAGAGGAAAGACCTATCAATTGTTCAAGAACAATTGACATTTTAATATTGTTCTTACATCTGTTCTGAAAAAAAAAATCCACATGCTTGTTATCAGATGTTCTCTGAAACTACATGTCCAATTGACCCCAAAATTTGCAGTCAGCAGGGTATACATGTATTACATCTTCATAAAACAACGTGGTGCAGATATCTCTCATGAATTTTCCTGGAGAAAAGAAATTGCAATGCCGTAAAATTTGCTTGCTAGTTCTGTAAATCTCAGTGAAATCCTACAATAAAATGTCCGCTGCTAGATTGAAATACAAATCTGTGTTACAAACTGCTACTGCAAAAAGTGTACATTATATGAAAATAATCAACAATTGTGTTTTAAAATTACACAGGATCAATTAAATCCAAAGCATGCACTTCTCGTGAACTGTGATCGAAACGTCAATTACCTACAATGACAAAGGAAATACACTGTGTGTATTCCGTCGCTATACATGTTGTCTGTCCAACGTCCCCACCTAAAAAGAAATAAAAATACTAAGTTTTCACTAATATAAAGCCTCGTCATGTGACGCCAAAACCTGGCGCGAGACAAAGACGCGCGCGGACCCTGAAATAGAATAAAAACTTTCCAAACTAAATATAGAAACTTAACCAACACACTAATATGGTCCCTTTAAATAAATAAAGAAACAAACAAACAAACAAACAAACAAACAAACATACACATATATCAATCAATCATGTTTCAGAAGGGGGAAGGACCCTTTACAATTTTTAACCATTCTTACATGTACCGTTTATATAACAAAATGTCTCCCTGGGACCCCCTTTTGCCCCCCCCCCCTCCCCCCCCCCCTTTTTTTTTTACCCTCCACTTACAACTCTTGTATGAAGCTATGTGCTATCTACTCTGTCAATGGAGAAGAACGACAACTCCATTCTTTTCCCTATAATTAAGGTCTTTCCTTTTCCAAAAGGGAAAGACCTTACTGTATTTCTTCTGATTATTATTATTAAGGTCTTTCCTTTTCCAAAAGGGAAAGACCTTACTGTATTTCTGCTGATTATTATTATTAAGGTCTTTCCTTTTTCAAAAGGGAAAGACCTTACTGTATTTCTTCTGTTTATTATTATTATTATTATTATTAAGGTCTTTCCTTTTCCAGAAGGGAAAGACCTTACTGTATTTCTTCTGATTATTATTATTATTATTATTATTATTATTCTTTTTGTTCCGCCAAACTTTGACAAAATTTCCCTCCGTAACCTTAAGCCATGTCGCTTTCATGTTCACACTTTGTATCGGTGTCACAAACACCTATCCGGAACTCACCCTGTGAGTCGTAAAATTTTGTCGGTCCGGAGTTATCCCTCCGAAACCTAAACACCTTGTTATCATTCAAACACCGTAACCTTAATAGGTAGAAAAAAAGCAAAGGGTGAAATTTGTTCAGGACCAGACCCCGGTTCTTTGTTACATTTGGATCGAAAAGATTCAACGACTCATTGGTAGGGTTATGACCCTTTGAAAATTAACCGGTGTCGGTTGGCCACCAAAACTCAGAAACCGTAAGTCGTAGCCACCTAGGATCTTCACTAATGATCATCAATTCATGTGACTTTGAAAATGCCTCAAGGTCAAATTTGTATGTCGACCTTGACCTTTGACCTTACACCTTGTTATGGGATAATCTCAGAAACCATTATACTTACAGAAGTTTTGAATAGTGGAAAATGTTTGGGTTATTAAAGCGCAACTTTGTTACATTTTGACCGAAGAGATTTGACCTTTCTGTAAGGGGCATAACCCCTGTTTTAGGTTTCTGAAAAGACAAAATCAGCTTTTACTATATAACAAAAGGTCCTAGATCTATGGGGTCTTCAACAATGACATTTGGGACCAATGACCTTGACAAAGGTCACAAGGTCAAAGGTCAAGGTCATGTCCCAGATAGCGAATTATGTGTTTTTGACCTTATTTAAGGGATTTCAAGTGTCTTTTAAAGCTTTTTAAGGTTGACCTTGACCTTTGATCTTACAACTTTTTATTGGATATCTCAAAAACGGTTAATCTTACAGAAATAGTAAATAGTGAAAAATGTTTGGGTCATAAAGCCGCAACTTTTTTACATTTTGACCGAAGAGATTTGACCTTTCTGTAAGGGGCATAACCCCTGTTTTAGGTTTGTGAAAAGACAAAATCAACTTTTACTATATAACCAAAGGTCCTAGATCCATCGGGTCTTCAACAATGACATTTGGGACCAATGACCTTGACAAAGGTCACAGGGTCAAAGGTCAAGGTCATGTCACAGATAGCGAATTATGTGTTTTTGACCTTATTTAAGGGATTTTTAGTGTCTTTTAAAGCTTTTTAAGGTTGAACTTGACCTTTGACCTTACACCTTGTTATGGGATAATCTCAGAAACCATTATACTTACAGAAGTTTTGAATAGTGGAAAATGTTTGGGTTATTAAAGCGCAACTTTGTTACATTTTGACCGAAGAGATTTGACCTTTCTGTAAGGGGCATAACCCCTGTTTTAGGTTTCTGAAAAGACAAAATCAGCTTTTACTATATAACAAAAGGTCCTAGATCTATGGGGTCTTCAACAATGACATTTGGGACCAATGACCTTGACAAAGGTCACAAGGTCAAAGGTCAAGGTCATGTCCCAGATAGCGAATTATGTGTTTTTGACCTTATTTAAGGGATTTCAAGTGTCTTTTAAAGCTTTTTAAGGTTGACCTTGACCTTTGATCTTACAACTTTTTATTGGATATCTCAAAAACGGTTAATCTTACAGAAATAGTAAATAGTGAAAAATGTTTGGGTCATAAAGCCGCAACTTTTTTACATTTTGACCGAAGAGATTTGACCTTTCTGTAAGGGGCATAACCCCTGTTTTAGGTTTGTGAAAAGACAAAATCAACTTTTACTATATAACCAAAGGTCCTAGATCCATCGGGTCTTCAACAATGACATTTGGGACCAATGACCTTGACAAAGGTCACAGGGTCAAAGGTCAAGGTCATGTCACAGATAGCGAATTATGTGTTTTTGACCTTATTTAAGGGATTTTTAGTGTCTTTTAAAGCTTTTTAAGGTTGAACTTGACCTTTGACCTTACACCTTGTTATGGGATAATCTCAGAAACCATTATACTTACAGAAGTTTTGAATAGTGGAAAATGTTTGGGTTATTAAAGCGCAACTTTGTTACATTTTGACCGAAGAGATTTGACCTTTCTGTAAGGGGCATAACCCCTGTTTTAGGTTTCTGAAAAGACAAAATCAGCTTTTACTATATAACAAAAGGTCCTAGATCTATGGGGTCTTCAACAATGACATTTGGGACCAATGACCTTGACAAAGGTCACAAGGTCAAAGGTCAAGGTCATGTCCCAGATAGCGAATTATGTGTTTTTGACCTTATTTAAGGGATTTCAAGTGTCTTTTAAAGCTTTTTAAGGTTGACCTTGACCTTTGATCTTACAACTTTTTATTGGATATCTCAAAAACGGTTAATCTTACAGAAATAGTAAATAGTGAAAAATGTTTGGGTCATAAAGCCGCAACTTTTTTACATTTTGACCGAAGAGATTTGACCTTTCTGTAAGGGGCATAACCCCTGTTTTAGGTTTGTGAAAAGACAAAATCAACTTTTACTATATAACCAAAGGTCCTAGATCCATCGGGTCTTCAACAATGACATTTGGGACCAATGACCTTGACAAAGGTCACAGGGTCAAAGGTCAAGGTCATGTCACAGATAGCGAATTATGTGTTTTTGACCTTATTTAAGGGATTTTTAGTGTCTTTTAAAGCTTTTTAAGGTTGAACTTGACCTTTGACCTTACAACTTGTTATTGGATATCTCAAAAACGGTTAATCTTACAGAAATAGTAAATAGTGAAAAATGTTTGGGTCATAAAGCCGCAACTTTTTTACATTTTGACCGAAGAGATTTGACCTTTCTGTAAGGGGCATAACCCCTGTTTTAGGTTTGTGAAAAGACAAAATCAACTTTTACTATATAACCAAAGGTCCTAGATCCATCGGGTCTTCAACATTGACATTTGGGACCAATGACCTTGACAAAGGTCACAGGGTCAAAGGTCAAGGTCATGTCACAGATAGCGAATTATGTGTTTTTGACCTTATTTAAGGGATTTTTAGTGTCTTTTAAAGCTTTTTAAGGTTGACCTTGACCTTTGACCTTACAACTTTTTATTGGATATCTCAAAAACGGTTAATCTTACAGAAATAGTAAATAGTGAAAAATGTTTGGGTCATAAAGCCGCAACTTTTTTACATTTTGACTGAAGAGATTTGACCTATCCGTAAGGGGCATAACCCCTATTAACTGTTTCTGAAAAGACAAAATTAGCCTTTACTCTTGAACCAAAGGGTCTATACTGACATTGTGGACCAATGACCTTGACAAAGGTCAAAATTCAAGGTCATTTTGCATATAGCGGATTATGTGTTTTTTGTCATATTTTAAGGGTTTTATGTGTTTTTTTTATCTTTTCAATGCATTCTACGTCTATTGAAACATATATTTTACATTACGAAAAGGAAAGACCTCTCAATTGTTCAAGAACAATTGACATTTTAATTATTATTCTTTTTGTTCCGCCAAACTTTGACAAAATTTCCCTCCGTAACCATAAGCCATGTCGCTTTCAGGTTCACACTTTGTATCGGTGTCACAAATACCTATCTGGAACTCACCCTGTGAGTCGTAAAATTTTGTTGGTCCGGAGTTATCCCTCCCAAACCTAAAAACCTTGTTATCATTCAAACACCGTAACCGTAATAGGTAGAAAAAAAGCAAAGGGTGAAATTTGTTCAAGACCAGACCCCGGTTCTTCATTACATTTGGATCGAAAAGATTCAATGACTCATTGGCAGGGTTATGCCCCTTTGAAAACTAACCGGTGTCGGTTGGCCACCAAAACTCAGA